AAGGTTCAGAAATTTATCAAATCACCCTATAGGAGGTTTCAAAAATTCATGAAAAATTCCATTATCTTTCAATTCCACTTTTCCATACACATTTTGAAGTCCTCACATCAGACAATATTGCCCCATACAAGAGAGCAAGTCAAAATAGGAATGAGAGAGATACTAAAGACAAAAGGAAACTTTCTCTGAATAACATTATAGAACACACACATTTATCAAATGCTGGACTAATCAGAGAAAGACATCCAGTCAGATGTTCAGGCAGACAGACTTAGAAAGTGGTCACTCACCTCTCTCAACATATTGCTTTCTTTTTCCTTCTGCTCCAAAAGACTTTCTAGGTGGTGAACATGCATCTCCGCCTCTGCTAGTCGTCTCGTTCTCTCATGGTCTTCCTCGGTTGCCTTGGCAGAAAGTCCCTTGCTCTGCAACATCTCCAGAAGCTTCTTGATGGATTCATCCCGAGCATTGAGGGTTTGCTTCTGAGTCTCAATACGCAGCTCCATTTCCTCCAGAGTCTTTCGGAGAAGAAACAGCTCCTTGGCCTGCCGCTCATGCTCAGCGTGGAGCCTCTGGAAATTCTCCTCCGTCAGCTCTGCCACACAAGGCTCACCAGTCCTACTGCTACTATCTTGCTGGAACAGCTGGTTCAGGTCCCTCTGGATGCGCAGCTCATCCTGGAGAGCCTGGATTGTCATCTGCATGTGCTAGAATCAAGACAAAAGGAAAGCTCCACATCAGCATTCCTTCTCAAGGAGTAAAACAGATGCAGAGTCTTTGAACCTTTGAGGAGAGTCAGAAAGTAGTCACAAGGGTTCTCAGAACCCTGCACTCAGCAATTTAGGATTCACATGGCCTCATTTTTACATTTCCTTTAAAAATAGATGAGATAATCTGTTAAGTGTCAATACCTCAAGTTATGTCATTCTCAGTAGGAAGCAAGAAATTTAGATCAACTAACAGCTTCTCGTTTTGCATAAAACATAGAGACTGTGTAAAATTAATACAATGTAATGCATAAAAATTGAGTTAAAGGGGAAAAGGAACACAAAGAACATCTACAAAAATAAGGGCACATTCACTAAAAAATGTCACCAAAAAGTATGAAGGACTATCAAAAGCACAAAATGACTGTCAGGTACTAGAAACCTTAAATAATACATACTAATATTTAATGAGCATTTATTCCAGAAGACAAGAGTCAATTTTTACTTCAGGATGACTATACTAAGCTCTATATCCAATGGTACTTATTAAGTATTCATGTTTAACAATAATTAGTAATACAGAATACTTTTTCTATATTCTACATTGTGGGACTTTTTAAATGTTCATTCAATGCTAACTGTGACACGATACTATTATTTTTATTTCATAAATGAAGAAACTAAGGCTTAGAGAAGTTTAAGTACCTGGACCCAAGTTACACAATGACAGCATTAACTAAACAATGCTATGTCTATTAAAAGTATTAATCCAAGCCTGACATTTTTTAATGGCATTACTTATGCTTACTTCTTCAGAGAGCTTGTTTTGAAATTAAAATATACTAACTTTTCCTTAACGGTTTTGTCTTAGAGAATATACTTTTGAAGTACTGAACTCTCGGTGCTGGTAGTCCTCAACAATTGAAAAGCACTATTTATCTTACAAAGAATAAATTTAAAATATCATTACAGACTATTTTAATTCATGTTTATAAAGTGCATTTTGAACTGTCAGCATTGCCATCTTAAAGATCCTTAACAGTTGTTGAAGTTCAAATCCTCAACTAAAGATGTATTCAAATATTAATTCTCTGAAGCTAATAACCAATCCCCAGACTCCCTTTTCCCCTTTAAAAGTAAAAATATCTAGACACTCTTTGAATTTATCCCCAGGAGGAATATCAGAAGTTAAATTCAACAGGAAATGGATTAGAGGTACAATCAATTGTTCCCTTTTTAGATCATTCATTACCAACTCATTCAACTCAGGAGAAATAGGTGTGACTACCACTCATAACTTCACAGACACTTTAGTACCTGACAAGGTTAAATATGACAATTACTAATTTTGGCAAATTAAAAAAACAGAATTACTAATGTGTCTACTGTTTCAGTCCTACTGGTATCCATTTTACTATGGTGTAGAACCCAAACAATGCTGGTCTGGGAGCCCAGAAGGCTGGACAGCCATTTTCTCCATTGAAATATGAATCAACATCCCTACTTGAGGGTATTATTCATGCTGGCTTTACTCTCTACAAGGATGCCTGCTAACGCCCTGGGGTGGAGAATGAAGCAGCTATATGTTCACCGATAATATTCATACACAAGATAAAGTAAGCATATTCCCACAAGTTACAGATATTTAACCACAAACAGACACATTAAAGCAAGTAGGGAGATTTTAGTTGTTTGGCCTTAAGAATGTTCTGCTTGTGAATTCTGTTCATGGTACCTCCCAATTGATCTCACAATTCTCACATCTCTAACTTTATACAGGCACCAAGAGCCTACTGCTTTTTACTCAAACATTTAACTTAATCTGGAAAGCCTGGGAAAGTAGCTGCATAAAATCAACTACG